ATTCAAATAGAATGAGATAAACCATAAAGTTATGTCATTCTTAACGTCGTCTTGAAATGTTAAATCGTCTTGAACGTTTTTAAGATATCTTTTAACCAAATGTTATCTTGTCTTACTGCGTACTAATATTATAGATGCGAAAGTTTAGATGGATGGACGACTGTTAGAGTTTGCAGCTCAAACTGCTTAAAAACGAATCTTAATCAAATTTGTTACAGATGTAGAGGATAGTCTTGAAGTACATGTAGTCTGCTTAATGTTTTTTAATTCCACGAGGAGGAATTCGTGGCCAAAAGCCAGTATATAATAAAACTAGCAAACACAGAGCGTAAATCTAGATTTTACTAGTAAAAGATGTTTTAATAAAAAAAGTAGCTTTCGAGGATTTTCAAACCGTTTTCATTTAAAGTGTTAGTATTTACAAGCTTACGTCTGCATGAAATAAAAAAAAACAAATTTCTCATGCCTATGTGTTCTTCCAGACTATCGTCTACGTCTATGCCAAATTTCATCGAGATCTGTTCAGCAGTTTAGGGTACAAACTCTAACAAACATCCATCCATCTAAACTTTTACATTTATAATATTGGTAAGGTTAATATTAGGGTTTTTAGATTATAAAGCAGTGTAACCAGCTCGGGCGACGGGCCAACGGCTTGTCAGTGTGCAGATAACTGCGCCCCGGTCAATGGCGAGCTATTTAGATAAAACATAGCTTCAAATAAGAATAGAAAACGAATAATTACGAAATATGACTAGTATATTAAAAATAAAAAACTTGTAAATATCAATGTAAAAGTTATAAAATAAAATAAAAGGTAAAGTTAAAGTTGTTTATGTGGAATTATATGAAATCTAGCTTACGCCCGTGACTCCGTCAGCGTGGAATTAAAAAAACCAAAGTAAGTAGCCTATGTTTTCTTCAAGACTAACCTCTACATCTATACCAAACTTCATTGAAATCCTTTTAGCTGTTTAGGCTACAAACTCTAACAAACATCCATCTAAACTTTCGCATATGTAATATTGGTACAAATTTTAATGAAATTAATTAAAAACATATCGGTTTTGTTTTTTAAATTAATGAAGCTTCGTTCCATTACATTGACTATTAAGAATGTAACTTCGCTTAATAACAATTGTGGGTTGAAATTAAATCTTTATATTTATTCGCAAGAGACAATGTGTGCAATAAAACTTTACGATTCATTTGCATATCGAATGAAATCAACGGATAAAATTACCATTTTTTAACAAGTGTTATTAATATCTGAAATGAATTGCATATTATTATCATAAATGTATCAGAAAATGATGTCTTGATCTGCCAATATACAATACATAAAAATAAAAATATTGTATTTTTTTAAGTCATTTTCAGAAGATTCTAGGAAAGAAAACTCTTTGCACCAACGCGATATCTTAAGATTCTTATCTTCTACGAGTAGAAAACAAAACACATTCTTCTTATTCAAATTACTTACAAAAATGCTTTTCATTATTTAAAAGTTAATTATTTGCAATATGATTCAAGTATTAAATTAATAAAAAATCAAACAAAAAAATGGGACCCACCTGCAAGCATTAGGTCCACTAGCGGCGGAGTTATGCCGTAACACACATAAAAAAAATACATACAGACGAATTGAGTACCTCCTTCTTTTGGGAAGTCGGTCAATAAAACGGTTTGTAATCAGAGATTACATTTGAGCGATTTACGAACTATCTTCTAATATGATTCTGGTTCTTCAGGAAATTATGAGCACAGACTGCATGAGACAAGCCAAAGATTTGTAGCACTTCTGCCCGGAGCCGAAAGCGGAACTTCTAAATAGTTTCACGTGCACGCAGTATAAGCCAGCATACTAAGCTTCCAGGAGTACCCTCAAACTCTATTAATAAGTTCACATTAAATTGACTTGGAAGCAACTTCGATGTAATTTACATCGCTAGACGTAAGCCACCTGGGCAAACACGAGTAATTAAAGTTTACAAAAGGCTTGAAGTTCAATTTAGGCACATTAACGCGAACGTGAATCATTTATCCCATGTGAAGTGAAGATTATAGTTATACTAGGTTTTGCAAGCGACTCCGTCCGCGTGGAATTAAAAAAAAAAACAACAGTTTGTAGCCTATGTGTTCTTTCAGACTATGCCCTACATATATGCCAAATTATATCCAGACCCGTTCAGTCGTTTAGGCTACAAACTCCATAAACATCCATCCATCTAAACTTTCGCATTTATTATATTAAGTATGAAGTATGATTAATAAGGTTGATCGTAGACTTAAAATTTTTCTAATATAATTTTTTTGAGATGTAAAATTTAAATTTTCTGATAGAACCAACTTTTAGCTTGATATTCTATACTGATATTATAAAAAGGAAAGATTTGTATTTTTGTTCATATTGAAATAACTCAAAAACTACTAGGCTGTTTTCAAAATTTCTTACATCATTAAAAAGATACGTTATCAGTGCTTTTTTTAATTCACACGGACGAAGTCGCGAGCAACAGCTAGTCTTGTATAAATGTAATCTTTACTTAGAAGAGCCGTCCCTACTAGGGCCAAGGATAAGGTTGATGATGATGATGAATCTATACTTAGAAGTCTATTTTCAAATCAATCATCACCAGCTCCCCACTGAGTATGTCCCCACTGAGGGGCTCGGAGCCTATCCTAATCAGGGGTGACTAGGCCATAGTCAACCACGGTGGCCCAGGTTGGTTGACTTTACACATATCTTTGAATTTCTTCGCCGATATATGCAGGTTGCATCACGATGTTTTCCTTCACCGTAAGAACGTCGGGTAAATTATGTATGCATGAAAATTCGAAAAATCGAAAATCAAATTGGTACAAGGCGGGATTCGAACCCAAGACCTGTAGATTACAAGTAAAGTGTTTAAACCACTGAGCCACCGACGCTTTTTTCAAATGATAAAATCCATTTCCGTATAAAATAGTTGTTTTTTTTTAGATAAAACTTTTCTAAGAATAAAATATCAGTCTCCTGTTTATCACTGATCTATTTAAGAACGCCTTAATCCTTAGCTTAATTAAAAGTTAGTTCTTTATTTAAAATGACCTATAAAAGGATGCCGGTAAAATTAGATTAAAGAGTTTTTTTTAGATCTGTCTTCGCTTTTCTTTCTCATAAGTATTATTAAGTTCTAATAGTTCTCAATTGTATTGTATTTAATTTGGAAATTCTCTTCACAAAGTAACATCTGTCTCAAGCGGAATACAAGCTTGTTAGATACATCGTACAGCCTTACTGACATCCGATACACGCTTTTAGAACTAACATTTCGGGTTTTGTACTGGATTTTCGCATTCGAAATCCAGTCTATATTCGTATAACATCTACATTTCTGTACATTTTCTAATAACCCACACATTTCTTGAAGATAAGGAACAAAATGATTTAAATTACAAAAGCATGTTGGCTACAAAGGTTGAGGAAGACCGAAGAAAGTATAGGTGGATTGTGTGAAAGAGGATATGCTTAAGAAAGGAGTGAGTTCAGATATAACGGCTGATAGAGATGTATGGAAGAGCAGCACATACTGTGCCGACCCTCTGTAGGGATAAGGGCAAGTTGATGATGACAAATTTAAGTTGTAGTCATTTAATATGACAAATCTAAACATTAACAAAACGAATAAAATAATAACGCATTGAAATAATAATCACATGATCATTAATTCTGGAACTAGAATCAAGAAATTAATTCGAATTCAAAAAATCTTTTATTTTATTTATTTCGATAGCCCCCAGACAAATTTTATATTTATTTCGTAGTTTATTCTGGATGGTTTTTATCTTCTTTTAAATTACGTTCGTGCCAATATAAGCAAGGGATAGCTTTATCGAGTGCGCGATTCATGATTTCATCCAATCACAATAGGATCTCAGGTGTGCAGGAATTCTAAACATTTTTTCCTCAATAAAATCTTTTATACTCATATCGTATTAAGGATATGTTTATATTCTTAATATATTATCGAGTTTATTGTACTATTACGTGTTGTCTAACTATTACTGGGTTATATCACAAGTTTTTGTTACAGTTAGTAGTAATAATACGATACTTAAGAAAAATTTATATTCTTGAATAGGCTTTAACATATTTTACATAGAGAGTTATTTTAAAATCGGATAGAATTTTGAATGTTATTAAATATTCTTGATCGTTAACTGGTTAAATCACCAAAAACTCTTATCTCAATAGTAGAAATATGAGCAAGTAATAAATACCTCACAAAATTAATCGCAAAATAAATCACTGAACATGATTAATTGGACTTTGTAACTTTTTGTATTTCCAATACTTTAAAGTTGAATAATTTATATTTTCACACTAACAGTTTTGTATACCTGGTATTCACTTCATTAAAGTTTTATGGATAGTTCCACAAAGACCTTGTCGTCGATATGATGGATAGCGTTGCAAACGTAACGGTCGCAATGGATCTGCGGCCATTTTCACACCGCCAATGACTCCGTGTTCAAACTTGTTGCAATAAATTATTAAAGTATACGGTCGGTTAAACAAATTTAAACTTAAACCAAATTGTTATACGTCCTAAAATTGTAGGCCAACTTTGTAAACGGAACACTAAAAAGTCTGAAAAGTGGATGACAATAACAATAAATTTTGAATTTTAAAATGTTCTGGTTAAATGAAAGAGGAAATGTTTTATTTTTGGCAATTGTATTAAAATTATACTATAAGATGTAATATTTATTTTCCTCTATGAATATTAAAAAATGTTAAAGTAAACCATTTACTACCAAAACTTTAAAAATCCTGGTACTTTCGAAAATGGTAATAATTTCCAGAAATTTCTAGAAAGCACGGAAAACATAATGTGAAATTTTAAATTTAATTTTCTCTACAAAAGTAAGTTTGAATTTTAAAAATTGAGGGAATATTTTGCAATAGTATTCATTTAATAATTTAAATTTTATATAAACAAAAATATATAACTTACCTATGTACCTACTTGCGCTTTTCGCCATAGTTTCAGTAAGTTGACAACAAAAAGAAATCGAAACAAAACTTAGCAACAATCCCTGATAAGTTTCCTTATTCATTGTTTCACTTTTAACACTTCACTACACTAAAATCACATGTTTATTTTGTACACTATCGTAGTGTACATATACGTGGGAAGTCTGCTTCGGGAAGGTCGAGTGCTCTCCACAGTCGAGCGACGACTGGATACCCCGACCCGGCCAGAGAGAATGGTTCACTGCGCACTGCACGCTCGGGGGTTGATTCTATGTTTCTACATTTCACTATTAACAAGGTAACAAGAATTTTTCGCAGCTTGTTAACCCAAACATGTTAAAAAATGCATCCACATTTTTAATGTGCATTTACACAGGTTTTTTCGAACGAAATATTAGATTTTAAATTATCGTTATAACGTGTATAGGGATTGAAATTTTCTATGTACAATTTGGAAGTAGAACTCATATAACTGTAGAAAATCAAATATTTCATGCGCGCTATCACCTAAAACGCTACGAGAATCTACTTTTTTATTTATACGAGTAAGAGTTTGAAGTCGGAATAAACTTTGTGAAAAGTTGTTTGATTTGGAACGTTTTAAAATTTTATCAGCGTTGCCGAATGGAATTTACTTCGTAATACTTTGTGGAAGTTGTTTCTTATATTTCATTGTTTAACTGTTGAATATCATTGTAAGTTGAATAATATTAAAACGTTCATTCATTTTGACAAACAGGGTAAAAAAGAAGCGTTACCAACGTTTTCGCTGCCTAGATATTAACTAACTCTCTTTGTTAGTTGAAATTTAAACTACATTTATGGCAACTGTTGGCCATATTTTTCAAGGATTAAGAATAACAAAATATTTATATTGAGCGTCGGTGGCTCAGGAGTTTAAGCATTTGGCTTGATACCCACAGGTCCTGGGTTCAAATCCTGCCATGTACCAAAGTGATTTTAGATCCGGCGTTTACGGTGAAGGAAAACATCGTGATATAACCTGCAAATATCGGCGAAGAAATTTAAAGATATGTGTGAAGTCCACCAACCCGCAGTGGGTCAGCGTGGTTGACTAAGGCGTAGTCACCCTAAATTAGGGTAGACTCCGAGCCCCTCAGTGGGGACGTATAATGAGTTAATGATTCTAATCAAGACGATGATATAAGTAAAAAATAAATTGTAAAGATTCAAATCAAATGAACTCAGTCAAGATGAAAACCGCTTCATTAAATGAAGTGGGTAATGTGAAGAGTGCTTAAGCTTATAAGCTCATCTACTGGCTTGTTGATTAATCAATTCTGTATTTTTTTTATTTTGTATTGGATGTAATGTAATAAAATAACTATGAACTATTTTTAATATAATTTTAATTTTAAATGTGTAAAATCAAATCTTACTAACATTATAAATTCAATAGTTTAGATAGATGAATGTAGGAGTTTGTAGCCTAAACTGCTGCACAGATATCGATGAAATTTGGCATAGATGTAGAGGATAGTCTGGAAAGATGCACACTTTCTTTTGTTTTTTTTTTAATCCCACGCGGTCGGAGTCGCGGGCGAAAACTATTTTATTACAAATTTAGTAAGTTAAATGTAGAAAATATTTTATATTAACGTATTTAAAACCAAACATTTTATTTATAAAGACATAGTAAAGTGCTGATACAAATGACTGATTAACAGGTAACGAATCGTTGCACTTAGATATCGCAAAAGAAAATTGCTTTCAACATAAAATATGAAGTGGCTTGAAACTCTCTGTATGCAAATGTGGAGAATTTTCAAATGCGAGATTTGTGTTCACTCGAAACTGTATAACAAGATCGTGTGATTACAGAAAGGTGAAGCTTCGTGTTACCTTTAATTGGTTTCGTTAAAAAAATCGTATATACTCTCTGTTCATTTTCAATTACAATATTGAATCTGTGACTAAGAAATACTGAAAAGAATAAAAAAATGCGTTGATTTTACATCTCTTTGTAAAAACATAATTTCTGAAGGAATTTATTCATCTTCATCATTACAAAAATCTAGAACTGCACAAACACATCGTTTGAAACACGTGCGAATGAGCCTTGTTAGAGAACTGTTTTAATTTATCTTGAAAACGTTATTTGAAATATTTATGAGAGTAAATAATACTGAGATTAAACTAAGAAATCTAAACACGCTTTAGTGATGCTTAGTTTGTTGCTAAAATGATCTGCTGACTGGAGTGATAGGGTGATGCGACATCCCGAAATATCAGGAGCTCAAACAACATAATAGTACAAGAAAGCCGCCTTACAAAATATCATACTAATATTATAAATGCTAGAGTATAGATGGATAGATGGATTTTTGTTAGAGTTTGTAGCCTAAACGGCTGAACGGATCTCGATGAAATTTTTCATAGATGTAGAACATAATCTGTAAGAACACATAGAGTACTTCCATTTTTATTACAGGTGGACGGAGTCGCGGGTAAAAGTGTAATTGTTAAAACCACGAGAGTTAAAAGTTACATAATAGTTTCGTTACTTTTTAATGATGAATGAATGAATGATGATGAAATGTATGATGAATGAATGAAATGAATATTGACTTTTTAATGTCACAGAATTTCTAATGTTTAACTTAGAAAAGAATATTGGAATGTATGAAGCCTAAGTTTACGAAAGTTCCAATGTTAATACTCGTTGATACCAACCCTAAAACTATTATTTGCAGATGTTCCATTTGCAAGCAACGTTGTCATACTTTTGTTCAATATCTTGAAATACATTGCTAGATTTAATATCTGTCGTAGATGATCAATAAAAAACATTACATCAATTATTCATTCAAATTCTAATTTATATAGAGAAACCGTTTTTATAATAAATTTTGAAATAAACTAAAGCAAAACTGTACATTACATTAGTAATGGTGCATTCCAATTTTAGTCAAAAATCATAAGGACCATATCAGAATTTACCATAAAATCTGCAGTTATTCTATGGTAGAAATATTTAGGCTTTGATTTGGAATAAGTTGTACAATTTATATTTAAATAAAAATACAATAAAACACGATTTAAAATATAAAACAAATCGTAAAAAGAGCATTCTTTTAAATGATCACTTCTCCGTTCCGACGTGAATTAATGGCACAAATTAAAAAGTTTTCGCTAGTGGACAGCTCTTTTAGCTCGGAATTTATATTCTACCACAATCTCATAAACATGGTACGTAGTACAGCTTTGTAATTTGATTTACTGAAATTGTGGCGTTTATTTTAGTGGAAAGTAGTAACTACTTCTTCATACAGATTCCTATAACAAAGGAAATGTATAGTAACGAATAAATGAATATTAAAGAGTTATAATAATAAGGAGCGTCGGTGGCTCAGTGGTTTAAGCACTTGACTTGTAATCTACAGGTCTTGGGTTCGAATCCCGTCATATACCAATGTGATTTTTAATTTTATATGCATATTTACCCGACATTCTTACGGTCTAGGAAAACGTCGTGATGAAACTTGCACACATGAGCGAAGAAATTCAAAGATATGTGTGAAGTCAACCAACTCGGATTTGGCCAGCACGCTTTACTATAGCCTAATCACTAACTTAGGGTAGGCTCCGAGGCTCTCGTTGGGGACGTACATATAGTGATGATGTATTACTTACACAATAAAAAAACAATCTCAGTTTCTTGCATTTATTGCAAAGATTTAAGATACTTGAGGCAATGTTTCTCTTCAATTGTCTCATGGGTCTTTTTTATGAACTATTGGTATGTTACTTCTAGCTTCTTTCCACCATTTTTTTAACATAAAGCGAAAACGGACAAAGTAATTGATACCATATTTATTTAAAAGAAAAGTTCTTAAGTACTCTGTATGTCTGAACACGTAATTAAGATCAAAAATTTACAAGTTGTTTGTTTATTTCATCCTAGAGATGTATTTTATCGTTACCTCTATAAAAGTAATAAATAAACGTGAGTTTCTTTTAGCATTATTAACCTGCGATAAAATGTTTAGATTCCCAGCAAATTTAATTAATAAAAGTAAGGTGAAAGTAGGGCGTCTTTACAAAAACTCTATGCTAACAGAATACATTGTCTAAAGAAGATTAAGAGCTTTTAAACGCGAAGAATCTTTTATTATTTATAAAAAGGAATCGTTGTTATTGAAACATAATTTAGAAAAATGTTACATTTTTGTACTATTGCAACTGCTCCTGCTTTTGTTTTTAAATATGAACATGAACTGGTTAGCTTCAAATGAGTAGAGGTATAACAATGTGTTTCGAAACATGTGTTTTGACAGTAGAAACACATAACGTTGAAATGTAATACTGCTATTTAAAATTGAACGATAACTATGATACAAAAAAATCTCGTTTGTAACTTTCTATGAATCTGAAGTTTTAGATATATTTATTTATATTAACTTCGTGAGTGGGAAGAAGTTATTATTCACCTCAGACACGAGTGAGTTTTCAACAAAGCGTTGGCTTAATACAAAGAGCATATCTAAATTTGAAATTGAATCTCAAAATACGATCCCTTTTTACGACGGTGAAAAGTAAATGTATGTATCTAAAATGTACTAAATATAAATAGAATATATGATATTTGGGTTGAACGTTTATTTGGCCTTCAAATTGCATTTGTAAACGAATTTTGTATAGATCTACAAACTCGATTTTTACTGAAAATCTAATCAAAAAAGAATATGACAATGAAGTCACTGTATGTAGAAAAAAAAAGTTTTTAAAGAGACATTTTGGAATGCCTAGAAAATGGATGTTTCCCCTTCCTATGGGGACGCATACGCATCTTTGTTAAATCCACTTTTAAGAAAATTGTAGAAAGATAACTAAAAAAACAATCTTTAAACACACAAAAGCACAGTTCGATAACACAAAAATTCGAAACAAAAGGCAGTATTTGTTACGATTGATTATACTAAGAAAATGGTTGAAAGTTTCAACAGGATTTGTTGAACTTTATAAAGTGGCGATAACTCTCCCAAGAATGGCAATTAATCAATGAATGGCGATATCTTTGGAATTGTTTGTCATCTTTAGTTTATCTTTGTGTTACTGGATTCCAAAAATATACATAACTAGCTGTTCCCGTGCGGCTTCATCCACTTGATATTATTAAAACTTTATTCTATTGTTTACATTTGTCGAATTCAAATGCACAAATAACGAAGGCCTTTGACATTTAATAACA